TTTAGAATTGTACATGTGTCTGTGTATTTTTAAAAATATTCACAAAGTTATATTTGTCATGGATCTTTAAAATGTTTGTGAATAGCAAACATAGTTTAGAGTCATTTGCTCCTGTTCATAAAAAGCAAAATTAATGCAGGTGTTATGGATTGCCATAAAAATATAAACAATTTCAGAATTAATGTATTTGTTTATTTATTTGTTGCCAGCAGAAATTTGCCCTTTTGAGATGCTATAGAAACTTCCTTTTATCCAGTCAAATAGTAATCACTAATGTCAGAGTCCTAGTATGACACAGTTTTTCCTAACTGCAAATCTCTGTGTCAAAAAGAACCTTCTTATGATAATCCCAGCACAATTTTTACAGGTACTTTTCCAGAATTTTTCTTACTAAGCTATTAAAAGTAATTACTGTGCACATCTCTGGAAGCTCACTTTCAAATGCTGGGAGTTTTTAATATAATGGAAATTCTTATTTCCTAAAAGACAATTCATAGCCAAGATATATCTTACTTGTGTTGAAAGGTAATGGGCTGCCTTGACCAGCCACTAAAAACCTTAATTTCCATGTCTCAGATGAAGTTGCGTGTGGTTTGGGAACAACAAAAATGTATTTTTAAGGAAATACAGATGAGTTCATTTTCAAGGTGTTTTACACTTTCACACTTGGAGAAGTATGCGAGACAGCTTGAGATCACAGAAAACTGCATTCTCTTTCATTATGACTACCTCTGAAGAATGGTAAATATGTTCCATCATTCATGACGACAGTGGGACACCACAGACCCGTGACATTCAAATTTAGGTATTTTTTATTCTTTGATGATTTAATGAGCAAAACTGCAACAACCTACACGATTTTTCTTGGCTTACTTCCTGTGTAGTAACACTGAAATAGGACATGGCAGTTCATGGCTTTCTGCCTCTGGATGGCAGTAACTCCTGCTTAAATGTTCTTGACCCTTAACTGTAATATCCTAAAGTAAAGATTTCCCATCCTTTGTCAGTTTTCTGTGCAAAGAAAACACTAATTTTACGTGGTCTGAAGTACACACACACACACACACACACACACACACACACACACACTAAAGCAAGGAGTCTGTTCAATGTTAAAAGTTGATGTAGCCAATTCCAAACTAAAAGGAAAATGAGGACACAAAAAGCTAACCTAAAAAAATTGGCATTTGGTTATTTCCATATGTTTATATGTGATTCATTTTCCTTCTTACATAAATTAACAAATGCTGCCGAGCCAACCATATTTCTTACCTCGAGACAACGAGGCATTGCAAAGGCTCTAGGAATATATCCAGGCTTTGGGAATAAGCATGTCTACCACTAAAATTATGTGCTCTGATTAATATAGTCCATCTGGATTTTCTGACTGAGCCTTTTCATAGACACAAAGAATTAAAGAGCTTAAACATTAAATAAAATGAAATGCACACATGTTAAATGTAGTTCACTAACCTCTCCACACAGTGGCTACTGCAATACCATAAACTGACATTTGGATTGGGCTGTGGCTGTGATTTATTGTCTGTAATATATTTTTTTTGTCCCTCGTGTTACTTGTCCTTTTAAACCCACTGTTCCTTTCCTGTGAGGCCTTTGTTCTTTACCTTAACTTTGAACGTGCTTGTATTGCCTAAAATCAGCTGAAAGCTCTATTTAGATATCCTTTCACTTCTCCCCTAAGAAAGGTGCTACATCAGTACTTAAGATGTGTTTCTGCTCACCTCCCTGGGCTGTGTAACGTCTTGGGAAACCACAGCTTTCTTGCTGGGGAAGGGAAGATAAGCCATTATGAGAAAATACTCTTCATTTTGAACATTATTTCTCTTTGTAACAAATATCCTTCTGAGAATTTACTGCAAAATGATTCATGATAATAAAAATCCACTATATAAGTTCCATTTCTGGGCATGTCAAATTTGGTGTCTAATTGAAGTGACACTGGTTTCTTATGGTTTCATACTACCTTAAACTATTGTTGATTTAGCAGACCTGACTTCATACCCATGCATTTAATTCTTTACAGCAAATGTAATTCCCATGACTTCTGGATGGTAGATTTTTAAAATAAACATTCTTATGGTTTTTTACCATCAACAAATGAAATGACTTCTGTTATTGTAAGAATAAGGGCTACATTTTATATGGGAAATAGTGGAAAATCATCACTCAAAGTAAAGATGACCTAAGGAATATTTGGGACACAAAAAGCCCTAGAACATAGAAGAATTTTTATGACCTTGACAGAAAAAACTCAGAAAGTCACAATTTCAATTGTGTCAAAAAACTACTCTGGAATATAAAACTTAGAATCTGGGGTCAAGTTGACAGCAATGAGTACAGGAACCTAGAAAACTGGAAGCATAAATGAAAAGAGGTCTTGAGGAGTGACTTCCTAGAACTTCCTTTAAGGTTTTCCCGAGGTAGCCAATGTAAATCTTTATGCATCTGAGTTATTGCCATAATTTCCTCTTACAGTGTGGTGCTTATCATTGATCCAAATAAAGCTATTACTCCTGGGAGTTACCATATCTGGCATTATCTGACTTGGGTGACTTCCAGCATTCAGTAACAACTTCAATCCCGACTCAGCAAGAGCTGACCATGTTGCCAATAAAAGAAATGTTGTGGCTGGACTCCAGTGTTCTGAAGACTTGTGTCAGAGCTGGGTCACTGCCCTTAATAACTCCTACTCTACTCATTTCTGAAACTACAGGGTGCCTATTAAAAGTGGCTGAGGAGAGTTGTTTGAGTCAGTGGACATTTTCTACATTCTCCTTTCATCTTTCCTCTATAAGTCCTCTCTCTTTTTTCCCCTTAGTTTTCTTTCTCATTCTTTGTGTGTAGTTACTGGTCCAACATGCATTTGTTGAATCCTCGGCCATCCCAAACATCTTGAAACACTGTGGTTGCCATTAGGTATGATGAAGAAGTACAGATCCATCCATCATGACATTTATATTATGTGGAGGAAACCACAGGAAAGCAAATTACGAATCACAGTGTAAAGGGCTACATAGTATTGTAAATGATGCTATAGTCCCTGTGTCAATAACTCTTAAACGGTGGGAAGTCAGAAAAAGGTTATTGGAGAAGGTGATAGCTAAACTGATATCTGTTGTTCATGGTCCAGTGGTCAAAGTTGAAGCCAGTCAGGTAAAGGAAGGACAGTTAGTTGGGCAGAGAAAATGGCATGTTCAAAGACCTAGAGTTGAGAAATAGGTAAAATTGATTCTACTTTTTGAAGCAAAGCCAAGACAGAATGAGAGGTGCAAGAGATTTATTGAGAGATGTGCTAGTAAACGAAGAAGAGGAAAGAAAGCAGGAGTGGGAGGGAAGCTTCTGAGAGCTAGCACTTTGAAAGGAAGGATGGGGATAAATTAGGAGGAGCCCAGACTGCAGTATAGCTCTGGAAATGTCTTGATTATGGGCGGAGGGGCTCCAGAGGAAAATGACCAATGAGAAGAGTCCCATTTAGGGGAAGAAAAGATTACTCTCCAGTACTTTTCCTATTCCTCAGCACCCACTGTGCTGTCATTGACTGGGAGAAGTGCAGACAAAGCATGAGCCCTGTGTTGAATCCTAAGGTGCAGCAGTGGGAGCCTACAAAGCAATTAGATAATCTCCCTAATTGGATTTTCTCTTGAAGGGATCTCTAAGCGACACTTTACATGGCTGCCTTTATACTCTTTCCATTGTATAATAGCCAAGAATATACTTCCATGCAGCAAGGATAACCTGGAAGGTATATCAGTTCTTGATTCACTTATGAAAATTTTCTATTTCTACCATTCTTTAAGGCCATTCATATATGTGTCTGTAATGAAGTCATCATGTATTTTTTGTCTTTCACTTATACATGTATACATTTAATAGATGAATAAAGACCAGATCCTTTCCTTTCAGTTGGTCTTATGAAACTCCCACATTGACTTAGCTAAAAACCAAAGAACTTTGAGATGTAACATGGACTATTTATACAGTTTATAAACACCTTTTGGCTGCTATTGGGCTGGATTCCAGATGTGACATTTTCATCTTCCATTGAGCTTAAGACAAATTCAGTAAGTTTTATGATTACTGGTATGAAAATGATCCGCCTCCTAATGAGAAGTTTCTGACACATGCTTATTTAGTGCTCCAGGGTCAAGTGTCTGTTTCCACCAGTGACTGAAAAGATCTAAAAGCTGCTACTCAAAAGCCATTTAATTCCCCACTCAGAGTTTTCCTAAATCAGAGTCATTGCATATCTCTCCCACAGGGGCTTCCATTAATCTTCATGTTGCGTCCACTTCCACTATTGATACTGCCAACATCATTGGAACTATATAAGTCTCAAGTGGCAAAGCTGTTTATGCTAGCGTAGGTCCACCTAAAGCTGTTACCCTTCTATGTTAATTTCTATAGGGCCAGGACAATCCTATTTATTAGAATGTGTTACCTCCAAAATTTGAAAAGGTAAAGCAGTCATTGAGCTTCTTTATTTAGGGAGCGTAACATGTACTTATTTGTCCTTTTACCTTGGAGGAGATGTCCTAATACACTTCTGACTCCTGCTACCTAAAGTCTTTACTGAAGTACCAGTTTCCTGAATCTTCAATAGGGTTTATCTCTAACTTTCTGAATCACATAAGTCTGTAAAGGATTATAGCCCAATAGTTCTTTTACTTCATTCTGTTCAATCACATAGCTATCATTGTTACAAAGATCAGTGTGATATTCTGCATAATGTCCAGGTATTTCAGAATTATGACAGAGGAAAGTGATAAGCAGCAGAGTCTCTCCAAGATTTGGTGTTCAAACACTAGAATATAGTTAACATGAGGAAGAAAAAGAGGGAAATGAGTCTCTGAGACCAGGAAGGATCTAAAACAAGAATTGAAGCTTACAGAGCAAAGAGAAAAATTTCAGTGAAGAAGGAGGAAGCATGTGATGCCCTCCCCCCCAGCACAAACTCGCTCATGGGAGGGTCAACTTGAAACTGAAAACACATAGTGAGTGCTGGAGACTACAGAGCCCTCCATAGAGAAGAGCACCAGTGGATCAGAACAGCGGATGCAGCAAACCGCAGTGAGTGCAATGGATAGTGGATGAGCTGTTTCTTTCAGACCTCTGAGGAGGGGGTGATTGGCTGTGCGCCATCTTAGATGGGGACAACTGAGCTTGGGGCTTGGAGAGGGTGCTAACTGTCTCTAATGGCTCCCAGCTGAGTTCAAACAGGCAGTGGGATCAGGGACTCCAGGAACCTTGGTGGGGTGGGTTACAGTCTCACAGGCCTAGGCCAGCCTTAACTTCAGTGCAAGGGTGAAGGCTCACTGAGGCCATCCTTTACCACCCTGGAGCTGCTGTTGGTTTGGTAGGACTGATCAGTGTGAATCTGGACTCTGTCTGCCCACATCATCTACCAGGGGCAGCAGAGACAAACCTTGAAGGGACATTTTTTTTTTCTTTTTTCTTTTCTTTTCCTTTCTTTTCTTTTCTCTCTGTCTCTGTCTCTGTCTCTCTGCCTTTGTTTCTTCTTCATTTTTTTGTTCTTAATTTTGTAGAAATATGAACATAATTTCTCAGGAGTCTTGCTGTTTTGCTGTGATCTTGTTTTTTATTTCTTCTCTCTTTCCCTCCTGTCTTTTTAAAAAAATTTTATTTTTAAAGAGGATAAAATTAAACATAACAAAACAGATCATAAGAAAATCATGCAAGAGATATATATTTCAAAGAATGACAATCGGGGATCTTCACTATCATACTGTCCCTTGTTTTCTTCCAAATAGTTGTCCATATCTTCACATACAGAGAATTCATGCAAAAAACTGTTCAGAACAGGATGATGAAGGCATTTTAGTCTTCAAGACCAGAAAATAAGGAAGTCAATAATGGCTGCCATCGTGTCTCTTGTTCTATAGCTATCCATATCTTTATGAATGTTGAAATTAAATTAAACAAAACAGACTAAAATCACTATGAACAAAGAATAATACTATTGCTGGATTTCACATCATGGCACTATGGAATCAGCACTGGGTACTTAATGTCTCTTTTCCTTCAAAGTAGCTGTTCATTTTATCGTGCATTATATAATTGATTCTCATAAAATTTTTAGAAGTTCCACACATGCTCGAGTCTCTACAGTACACCAATCCTTTCTGTATTAGAGGGAAAAATAAAACAAAACAAATTCTTAGAAAAACCCGAAATGAAAAAGGCACATAAACAACAACAGCAAAGAGCCCAGAAAACTGACAATATAGGCCTTCAAAACAAGGTGGTATGAGCGTAACTAGGGTTGTTATTTTACATAATGACCTTCAAGAGTTCCTCAGATCACCATACAATAATATGCACAATTGTTCCAATCCTATGAATGTTAACTATTTTGTTCCAAGAACTTATAGAGTTTGTAGCATAATCATCTTAGCTATCCTAAAAGTTTTTATATAATTTCAGACATTTTTTCTTTTCCCTTTCTTTTTCTTTTTCCTCATTTTCCCTGAGATATTATTTTTCCCCTTTAAGCAGATTCTTATCGTTTCACTGTAATTGAGTTTGTGTATCTTATGTACTCTTATCATTTTTTACACTAGGGAGACGAAATGGTATTTACACATGTGAGCTCGATTTATTTCACTTATGAGTATAGTCTCAAGTTGCATCCATTTACTTTTAAAAATCTCAATGTGATCATTCTTTATAGCAGAGTAGTACTCCATTGTGTAAAAATACCACATCTTTTTTATCCATTCTTCAGTTGATGGGTATTTAGGTTGTTTCTAAGATCTGGCTATTACAAATTGTGCTGCTATCAACATGGGTGCACATTTATCACTGTGGTATGATGTTTTCAATTCTTCTGGGAATATGCTCAGAAGTGGAATAACTGGGTCAAATGAGACCTCCAATCCCAGCTTTTTTAGGAATCTCCAGATGGACCTCCATGATGGTTGCTCCAGTCTACACTCTCACCACAAGTGCAGAAGAGTTTCTTTTTCCCCTCAGCCTCACCAGTATTTGTTGTTGTTGGTTTTCTTTATCCTGACTATTCTTTCTGGAGTGAGATGGAATCTCAGTTTGGTTTCAATTTGCATTTCTCTAATCATCAATGATGCTGAACATTTTTTCTTGTATTTATTTGCCATTTCTTCCCCTGAGAACTGTGTATTCATGTCAGATTCCCATTTTTGTATTGGGTCTTTGAATTTTGGGGATCTGACTTTTTTATTTCTTTATATGTTCTGGACAGAAGTCCTTTGTCTGAGGGATTGTTCACTAAGATTTTTCCCCAATTTGTGGGTTTCCTTTTCACTATGCTGGAGATTTCTTTTGACATGCAAAAACTTTAATAGAACACGATCAGAGTTATTGACTCTGTGAAGTATTTCACATGCAGTTTGATTCTTGTTCATGAATTCTCTACCAACCCCTATGTCTTCAAGATTTCTGCTTACTTTGTCTTCCAACAAATATAGTGTTTCTGTTTTAATATTTAGATATTTGATCCATTTAGACTTTAGTTTAGTACATGGTGATAGGCATGGATAGTTTTAGTTTTCAGCATATGGAGAGCCAATTTTTCAGGCACCATTTTTTGAAGAGACTATATTTCTTCCAGTGGACATGTTTGACCACTTTATTAAAGATGAGGTGGCAGAGTGTGTTTGTAGTTGTAGTTGTATCTTCTAATCTATTCCGTTGATCTTTGGGTCTGTTTTTATTCCAGTACCATATTGATTTTACTACAGTTGCTTTGTAGTATAACTTCAAGTCATGGATTGTGATGCCTCCTCCCTTGCCTTTGCTATTCTAGGACTCTTCTGAGTTTTAGGAGTGATTTCTCTAGCTCTGTGAGGTATGTTAGAGGCATATTGATTGGGATTGCATTAAATCTATATAACAATTTTGGGAGAATGGCCATTTTCACAATGTTTGTTCTTTCTATCTATGAACAAGGGATGTCTTTCTGTTTTCTGAGGTCTTCGATTTCTTTTTTCAAGATATAATAATTTTTCTGGAATAGATCTTTTGTTTCTTCCATTAGATTTATTCCTAAGTATTTCATTTTGATGGGTGCTATTGTAAAGGATGTGGTTTCTCTTATTTCTCTCTCAGTGGTTTTATTGCTAGTGTATAGGAATGCTATTGATTTTTGAGTGTTGGTTTTGTATCCAGCTACATTACTGAATTTATTTATTATACCTAGGAGTCTTTCAATGGAGTTTTGGAAGTCTTCTATGTAGTGTATTATGTCATCTGCAAATAATAATTTAACTTCTTCTTTTCCTATCCTTACTCCTCTTATTTCTCTCTTTTGTCTAATTGTTCTGGTTAGTATTTCTAGCACTATATTGAATAGGAGTGGTGATAATGGACATATTTGTCTTCTTCCTGATTTTAGGGTAAAGGCTTTCAGTTTTTGGCTATTTACTATGATGCTAGCTGTTGGGTTATAGAAGGCTTTTATCATATTGAGGTTAAGACCATCTATTCAAATTTCTATAAAATTTTTATCATGAATAAGCTTTGAACCTTATCAAAACCTTTTTATGCATCTATAGAAATGATCATGTGGTTCTTATTTTTGGCTCTATTGACATGGTGGATTACATTTATCTATTTGTATACGTTGAACTGTTCTCTGCATTCCTGGGATGAATCCCACTTGGTTAATGTGTAATCTTCTTGATGATTTGCTGCATTCTCTGCCAAAATTTTATTGAGAATTTTTGTCTCTGTGTTCATTAGAAAGATTGACCAGTAGTTCTCTTTTATGGTTGAGTCTTTCTCAGGTTTTGGTATTAGAGTAATGTTTGCTTCCAGAAATGAATTAGGAAGAATTGTTTCCCTTTCAATTTCATTGAAAAGTTTGCAAAGTGTCCGTATTAAATCTTTCAATTTCTTGTAGGATTCCGCAGTGAATCCATCTGGACCTGGGTTTTTCTTTGTTAGTAAGGATTTAATTACATTTTCAATTCCATTCATTGAAATTTGGTTATTCAGCATTTTTATATCTTCCTGACCCACCTTTGGTAATTAGTATGTTTCTAGAATCTGCCCATTTCTTCTGTATTATCAAGCTTATGAGAGTAGAGGTTTTCAAAATAGGTATTGGTGATCTTCTGTATTTCCTTAGGGTTTGTAGTGATTTCATTTTTTTCATTCCTTATTGCATGAATTTGAGTTTTTTCTTTCCTTTTTAAAATAAGGTTGGCTAGAGGCCTGTCAATGTTATTTATTCTTTCGAAGAGCCAACTCTCTGATTCATTGTATTGTTTTCTTAGACTCCATTGTACTGATTTCTGCTCTGCTCTTTATAATTTCTTCCCTTCTTTTGACTTTGGGCCTGACTTGCTCTTCTTTATCTAGATGTTTGAGGTGTAGCATCAGGTTGTTTATTTGTGTTCATTCTGTTTTCCTGATGTGGGAGTTCACCGCAATAAATTTTCCTCTGAGGTCTGCTTTCATTTCATCCCATAGGTTCGGTAAGATGTATTTATATTTTCGTTTGCCTGTAAATATTTTTCAATTTCTTCTTTAATTTCCCCTGTGACCCACTGATTGCTCAGCAATGTATTATTCAATTTCCATATGTTTTTGGGGCTTTTGAAGTTTCTTTTGTCATTAATTTCTGGTTTCCTGGCACTGTGATCTGATAACATGCATGAGATAATTTCGATTCTTTTACATTTACTTACCCATGTCCTGTGGGCTAGTATATGGTCTGTTGTAGAGAACATTCTATATGCTGCTGAGAAGAATGTATATTCTGATGTCATTGGGTGGAACACTCTGTATACATCTACTAAGTCCATTTGTTCAAGGTATGATTCAGTTCTATTATTTCTTTGCTGATTTTCTGTCTAGTTGATCTGTCCCTTTGTGTCAAAGGCATGTTAAGGTCTCCTGTTATAATTGTGTTATTGTTTATTTGATTTTTCATTTCTGTTAATATGTGTTTTTGCATAGCTGGGTGCTCCCAAATTTGGTGCGTAGATATTTCAGATTTTTATCTCTTCCTCTTGAAGTTTTCCCTTAACTAGTATGTAGTGGCCATCTCTAACTTTATGGATCATTCTTGGTTTGAGGTTCACGTTGTCTGCAAACAGAATAGCTACCCTTCCTTTTTTGGAGATCTTTTTGCATGGAGTATTGTTTTCTATCATTTGATTTTCAGTCCGTGTGTTTCCTTTTGGGTTACATTGATTTCCTGTATACAGCATATGGTTGGATGTTGTTTCTTGATCCATTTACATTAAAGGTTATAACAAATATATATTGGTTTACTTTTCACATGTTATCTTTCTGCTGTTGATTTTTTACCTTTCCACTCTGTTTAATTGTTTGCCTTGCTTAGTGGGTTTTTTCTATGTCTGTCTAGAATGTCTTTCAGTATTCTTTACAGGGTTGGTTTGGTGTTCATGACGTTCTTCAGTAGTTCTTTGTCATGGAAGTATATTATTTCTCCATCCAATTTGAATGACAGTTTTGCAGGGTACATCAGTCTGGATTGGAAGTCATTTGATTTTAGAGATTGCATTCTCTTCTTGACTTCACTGTGTTGAGAAGTCCGCTGTGATTCTGATAGCTTTCCTTTATAGGTTATTTGTCTCTTTTCTCTAGCAGCTTTTAATATTCTGTTCTTATGTTGGATTTCTGGGATATTGATTATTATATGTCTGGGTGTAATTTTATTTTGGTTATAGCTATTTGGAGTTCTATATGCTTCACTGTTCTGTATGTCAATTTTCCTTCTCATGTTTGGGAAATTTTTGGCTATTACTTCTCTAAATAGCCTCTTGATATCGTTTATCACCTTTCTTTTCTTTTATACCTATCAATCTTATATTGTTTTTCTTTGCATCATCTTGTAGTTGTTGCATTGTTATTTCCTGGTTCCTTGTTATTTTTCAAAGATCTTTCCTTTCCTGTTCACTAGCTGCAATCTTGTCTTCGAGGTCTGAAATTCTATCTTCACTTTCATTGATGCAGTTTTGCTGACTTACTATGGACTTTTTAATTTCCTGTATATCGCTTGGAATCTGCTTCATAAATTCTGTTTGTTTCTCATATTGTCCATTCAGAGTTTCCATCTTTTTGCATTGTTCCTCTAATTTTTTAACTATATCTTCTTCAGATATGTTCAGCATTTCTTTCATTACATTTATCATTTCTTCTTTTAACTTGGAGACTATTTCTGATTTGAGTTCTTCTATAGCTTTCTGGCGTTGTTTCCTTACTTTAGTTGTTATCATTTCAGAAATTTCATGTGTGTGGCTTATATTTTCTGCTGTTTCCATGTCTTCTAAGCTTGCTTGGGTTGGACTGGAAGTTTGAGATTGTATTTTGCTCTTTCATTTTGTCATTTTCCTTTATTTTCAGGTTTTGGGCGATGTTTCAAAGCTTCCCTCAGGCACTGGGAATCACCTGGCCCACTTTTGGCTCCTGGAGAAGATGGCAGGCAACTGCTGGCTGCTTGGAGTTCACGGGGAGTGGGTCAGTTAGGCCCATGAGGACTCCTGTGTGTTCTCCTTTGATTTGAGACATGGGACATGGTCTAATCACCTGAGAGCGATGTTCCAAGGTTTCCCTGTGTGCTGGGATTTAACCCATGCACCTTCAGCTCCTGGGAATGAATTCAGGCCCCTGCTAGCTGCTTGGTGATCCCTGGGCATAGCACAGTTAGGCCTGCAAGGACCTCCTGTATGTCCTCTGGGGATTTCAGATGTGGGGCCTGGTCTTATCATCTGGGTGCAAAGTTCTGAGTCTTCCCTATGTGCTGGGATTCAATCTGTGCATGTTCAGGGCCCGAGACTCAATTCCAGTCCTTGCCATCCACTTGCAGTTCACTGGGCATGGGCCAGTTAGGGCCCGTGCATCCTCTGGTGATTTCAGATGTGGTATATGGTCTTCCTGCCTGAGAGTGATATTCCCAGGCTTCCCTGTGTGCTGGAGTTCAACTCATGTATGCTCAGGACCCAGATACCCCCTGTCTTCTACAACAATTTCACAAAGTTTGTATGATGCTACTTTGTTCTCCAGCCTTGCTTCTAATTTCTTCATCTTCTCCTCCTGCTTTTTCTTCTTTCTCTATTTTCTCGCAATCCCTTTTAAATTTTCCTCCTGATGGAAAAATTGATATACTGACTATATAGTTGCTTATTTACTGAGTGCAATTTTCTGGTTCATTTTAAATTTTTTTATACAACCACAAATCTAATTCATATGGTTAAATGTGGCAAATTAATAGTTACCTCAATTTACAATCTGTGTTTGATGATATTGTTATTGCTGATTGTATCACTTTAACTAAAGTGATGTAGTTGTTCTAATCAGTTGTTCTTCCTGGTATACTAAGACTGAGATTGCTTAAGGATCATAAAAAATACGTTAGGCTAGTACCAAAGAATCAGAGGCTGGGCCAAGTAGGCAGCAACTTCTCATTCCCAATAAATTAAAGAGATAGGATCTTGAAATAGATTCTAAACCCAAAAGTCAGCAACACCTGGAAGATACCTCTGAGAAGTAGTCATTTTGTAAAGTCTATAAATACTAGCAATAAAGTTACTCACTAGAGGCAAATTTGTAAGCATCAAGCCATGAATTAACTAAAAAAATTTACAGAATGAGAAGACATTTAAATAAGATGCAACCCTAGATTTCCAGTTCACCAAAGGCAAAACCAAGGGACAATGAGGACAGGTAGTTTGAAAGCCACTCACCTGGACTCTCTAAAGTGGTAATAGAAGAAGTTACTAAGCAGATGAAAAAGATTTTAGAAAAAATGAAATCAGAAATAATTTCTCAGATAATTACTGTGATGGTGACCATAATGAAAGACACGTTTTATAACTCTAAAGCAGACACAGATTAAAGAGAGAGAGAGAGAGAGAGAGAGAGAGAGAGAGAGAGAGAGAGAGAAGCTTAGGAAAATGATGGAAAGCATGCATGCCCAACATAGGACAGCAGCGGAATTCATAACATAGATTTAAACAGATATCCAGGAGATTAAAAATTGCATTGAAAATACCCACAGCAGAATGAGCCAATGGAAGATAGAATCTCATATATAGAATACAGGATTGCAGTTAGTGATCATGAAAAGAAAGATGCCCTAAACATAGCAAAGAGCCATGAGAAATCAATCTAGCAACTGCTAGATTATGCAAAGAAGAATAACATAAGATTGATTCAAGTCACTGAAAAAGCAGGAGATAGCACAAATGACATACAAAAAAATCTGTTCACAGATATCATGGCAAAAAACTTCCCTGGCAGGGTAAAAGAATTTGATGTACAGATAAATGAAGCATACAGAACTTTAGTTACCCATGATCAAAAATAAATCTATAGCCAGGTTGGATTCTAGAAATCCAACACAAGAACAGAATATTAAAAGCTGTTAGAGAAAATAAGCAAATCATCTAAAAAGAAAACCGCTCAGAATCATGGCAGATTTCTAAATACAAACCCTCAAGTCAAGGAAAGCTTGGAGTAAAATATTTCAAGCTATAAAGGAAAACAGTCTCTAACCCAGACTGACGTATGCCACACCTTTCAAAATTGATGGAGAAATCCAATACTTCCATGACAAAGAAGATTAATTAATGAACACCAAACCAGCACTCTGAAATGTGCTGAAGGACATTCTAGAAAGGGAGAAGCAGGACTACAACTACATGAACACCCAACAGAATTAATTCACCAGACAAGGCAACTAATTAAGCAGAGGGAGAAAAAGGAAGCCAACAAGGGGAAAATAACATGACAAGGACAAGTTGATACATATCCTGTATATCCATGAATATTAATGGACTGAATACACCAATCAAAAGAAGGAAACTGGTAGAATGGATCAGGAAGGAAGATCCAGCAATATGTTACATACAAGAAACACATTTAATTGAAAAAAATCCACAGAATGAAAGTCAGGGGATGGAAAACAGCACTCCATGCAACACGAACCCAGAAAAAAGCAGGGGTAACTATTCTATTTGCAGATAAAGTGGATTTCAAGTCAAGACTGATTCAAAGAATGTCACTATATCCTTGCAAAAGGAGCAATACAAAAGGAAGAGATAACAGTTATAAATATACATGCAACAAACTGCAATACACCAAACTATATAAAACAAATTTTAATGGACATGAAAAATCAAATAAAAAGTAATACAATTGTAATGGAGGGCCTTAATACCCCACTGTCACAAAGAGACCAACTAGAAAAAAAAATAATGATATATTAGAACTGCCCCAAATTTCTGACAAATGTACTTAGTAGAGGTTTACATAGTATTCTACCCTACAGTGTCACAATAAACATTCTTCTTACATGCACACAGGACATTCTCCAAATACACTACAAACTAGATCATAGGACATACCTAAATAAATGCAAAGGAGCTGAAATTATTCCATGCATATTATCAGATCATAGTGCAATGAAATTGGAAATCAAAGGCAAAGGAAACCATGACAATGTTATAAACACAAGAAGATTAAGTAATACCCTTTTGAACAACTAATAAGTCACAGATGAAATTAAAGAAAAAATTAGACAGTTTTTTTACAATTAATAATGCCTATGAAACATAACAGAATTTATGGGGCACAATGAAGTAATTCTACAAGTGAAATTTGTAGTGGTAAATACTAATACCAGGAAAACAGAGCAATCTCAAATAACTTAATGTTGAACCTCAAGCTTCTAGAAAAAAAAAAAGAGGCAGACCATGTAGGAAAATAGAAGCCAGTTCACTTTTCCCATCAGTTAGCAGAGCCCATGCTGGGTTTGAGACCAGCACATCAAGAAACTAGTTTGAGCTTCCCACAAGCCCTGCAGATCAGGGAGGGCCCAGGAAGACAAAAGCCACATTGCCTTATCTGTGAGCCAAATGGTATATGGTCTGAATATCAAGATCCTCCGCTCCCATAAGTAACTGACTGGTTCAGAGCACAGGCTGAGTTGATAGCAACCGAGGCATAAAAACAACTAAATGCTTTTGTTGTTTGATTGATTTTGAAGGACTGAGCATCTATTGGGAGGGAAATAGTATACAATATTGCAAAAATGGGGAATTTTCTTCCATCATGTATTTTAAATCCAAATATTGTTCTGTTTTGATTTGTTCCAATTAATTGTTTTGTTTTATTTGATGCTCTATTTTGGTTGGTTTCGTTGCTTTTTTAAAAATTTGATTTTTCTATGGGAATGGAAACTGTTGTGAAGTTTACAAGATATATTATAGTAGCCATTTTTATGACCTATTGTGCTGTGTTGAAGTTCTGTACCACTTTCACTGCTTTGTTTTGATTTGCTTTATTCTGCTTTGTGTTTTGGGGTTTTATTTTCTTTACAATAAAAAGAAAAAGAAAAGAAGCAAGGCAAGCCTAAAATTTGTAACAAGGAGGAAATTATTATGGTTAGAGCAGAAATCAGTGCGCTGAAGACTAAGAAAACAATATAAAGAATGAATTGAGAAGCTGCTTCGTTTAAAGATTAAATAAAATTGACAAATCTTTAGCCAACCTTATCAAGAAAAAAGGAAAAGACGAAAATTTGTGTCATTAGGAATGAAAAGGATGAAATCACCTGCAAAAATCCAGAAGGCTGTCTCTACATACTTTGATAATTTGTATTCTGATAAGATAGATACTGCAGAAGAAATGGACAGATTCTTGGATACTAATGAATTAGTAAAGCTGGATCAAGATGATATAAAAATATCAGTAAACTGGGATTCATTGAGAACATGGTGGATAGATAACAACAACTATGGACGCTCTCTGAGTTAGCCAGCTTAGAATCTAGCAATGGTGCGGTGTGGGGAGTCCTAAGCAGGAGTGATACTCCCTGCCGACTCAGGAACGAACTAAGCTGAGAGAAACCAACTGAAAATGCAATCCTGGTGCTACGACTGGAACAGATAAAGTCTCAGCACAGAAGCTGGAACCCACGCCTCTGCAAACTGCAATTTGAATTTCCTGCCACCACTGCTGCATCTGAATCGGCATAGCAGAGATAGAGATGGAAAGCTCTGAGAGCAGGAATCGGTGAACTGAATTGAGAGCAGAACTGGCGGGGAGTCCTGCTTCGACCTGCGGTGAGTGAGAGGAATGGGGACCCGTCCATAGAGTAGGAGGCTCCAACAGAGGACATACTGGGACTGGGCAAACTAGCCGAAACAGGACACTACAATGACTTCAGTCACATATTCCCCTCTCAAGCGAGACTGGTGGGGAGTGCTTGACCTGGGTGATGCTGCGGACTAAGAGCCAGTAGGCTAGCCCAAACCAGGTCCCTGCATCTGGTGGTGCACCCTAGCAGTGAAGTCTTCAGTAGGTTGACCTGAAGGGGTGGGCCCAGCATAGGCTGCCCAGGTCTGTGTCTCTCTAGTACACTGCAATGTACTAGGTGGGAACACCTAGCCAGCACAATTCAAACAAATTGAAACCCACAAAGAAAGAAACTGGGCCTCCTATATATGCCTGTATGGAAGGAACAAAAAATATGAGAAGAGGAGGCAACAAGAAAAGGTCCTCGGTCCCCAATCCTGAGAACACTGATCCAGGAAAGGTAAATGCAAAGGAGAATGAGGACAGAAAACATGCAATATCAGACACGGCACTAATAGACATAAAGCAATATCTCCGGAGCCTCATAGACGAGTTCAAAAGTGAAGTATTTAATGAAGTAAAGCAAGATATAAGTAGAATAGTTAAAGAAATGCTAAGCACCTCCCAAGAAAAAACAGATAGTGGAATGGAAGAACAGAAAAAAAAGGGAGAATTGTTTGATGGAGAAAATAGAGAAAACATAGAATACATGAAGCAGGTTTAAAGAGACTACCAGGAAACTAAAAACTCTGTTGAAAGCTGGCATAACAGCTTGAAAGAAACTCAGGATAGATTATGTGAACTGGAGGACAGATTTGTAATGTGGGAGCATGAAAGGAGAAACTTCTTAAAAAATATAAATAAACCAGTATCAGTCAATGAATTGAAGATGTAATTAAGAACTTTCCAACAAAGGAAAACCCAGGCCTTGACGGATTCACTGCTAAGTTCTACAAGAAATGTAGAGAAGATCTAATGCTGCTACTTCTCAGACTCTTTAATAAAATTGAAAGGGAAGCAATACTACCAAATTCATTCTTGGAAACAAGCACCACCCTGGTACCAAAACCAGAGAAGGACTCAACCAAGAAAGAGAACTACTACAGGCCAATCTCCCTAGTGAGCATAGATGCAAAAATCTTCAATAGGATATTGACAAACAGAAAGCAGCATTTCACTGAGAAGTGTACATATTATAACCAACTAGCATCCTTCCCAGGGATGGATGGTTCAACATACACAAATCAATAAAAATAATACACCATATTAGGAGAAACAAGGATAAAAACTATATGGTCATCTCAATAGATGCAGAAAAAGCATTTGACAAAGTCCATCACAAACTCATGATAAAAATCCTACAGAAAATTGGAACCGGTGATTTTTATCTCAATCTGATAAAAGCCATCTATGACAAATCAATGGTCAACATTATACTAAATGATCAAAAACTGAAATCTTTCACTCTAAAATCAGGAACAAGTTAAGAATGCCCACTTTTGTCACTTCAATTCAATATAGTTCTGGAAATACAGCTAAGCAAATTCAAAAAGAGAAAGAAATAAAAGGAATAAGGATAAGAAAAGAAGAATTTAAACTGACATTATTTGAGGACAGCATGGTATTCTACATTGAAGATATCAAAAACTCCATCAAAAGACCTTTAGATTTAAATATCAAAGTCACTCATGTAGCTGGATATGTCAAGACTTAAAAATCAATAGCTTTCCTGAAAAAGAAAAAGCATGGAATAATTAACTCATGAATAACACTCACTGACAGAGAAATTAGGGAAACAACAACTTTCACAACACATTCAAAAAATTGAAATATCTAGGCATCAATCTCTATACTGAAAAGTACAATACTTTGAAAAAGAGTACCGCAGAGACTATCAGAAAATTAAAAAATATCCCTGACTCTTGGGTAGAAAGAATTAATATAGTGAAAACGATCATACTTCCAAAATTGTTATGCAGATTTAATGTAATCTCAATCAAAATTCCAAAAGCGTATCTTACAGAATTAGACAAAATAATCCTAAAATTAATTTGGAAACATAAAAGACCTAGTATAGTGAAGACAACTCTGGGCAACAAAGACAACACAAGATGCATCACGATTCTTGGCTTCAAATAATAATACAAAGCTACTGTGATAAAACTAGCATGATATTGGCAGAAAAAAAAAAGCCTAAGGATCAATGGAACAGATTAGAAGACACAGAAACAACTCTAGATACTTAGCCACCTTATCTTTGACAAAGGTGTCAAACATGTTCAGTGGATGAAAAATAGCACATTTAATAAATGGTGCTGGAAAAACTGGTGCTCCAAATGTCAAAGATTGTAAATAGACTCATATTTTTCATCATGTACAAAACTAAAATTCGTATGGGTCAAAGATCTAAATATTAAAACAGAAACACTAAATCTGCTGGGAGATAGAATAGGTATAGTTCTTGAAGGTGCTGCTGTAAGCAAAGAGTTTACGAGCAAAACCCCAACTGCATAGTTACTATTACAAACCATCAATAACTGGTATTTCATCTCCTTACAAAGCTTTTGCACAGCAAGAGAAACTGATAACAGAGTAAAGAGAAATCACAATGTAGGAAAAATGTTTTTCCTGCTATTCCTCAGATGAAGGCCTAAAATCTAGAATCAGTAAAGAACTCAAACAACCCCCCCCCCATACTTAAGGCCAAATCAGAAAAAGGTCACCTAAAATGAATAGAACCTTCTTAGATGAAGACATAGAAACAGCAAATAAATGTATGAAAAAAAGTTCAGCATATTGGTAATTCAAGAAACGAAAATAATACAACACTAAGATTTCATCGTATCCTAGAAAGAATGATGGCTATCAAGAAATCAACCAATAACAGATGCTGGATGGGGTTATGGAGAAAAACAAACACATTTCCACTCAGTGGGAGTATAGACTGGTGCTACCACTGTGGAAATAAATACAGAGACTCCTCAAAAACTAGGACTAAAGATTCCATTTAATCCAGGTATCCCTCTTCTTGGTATCTGTTGTAATCAAGTTTTGCAAGAACAAGACAATTCAGGACACATAATTTGTAGTATTATTTTATGATATCACCTGAAGAGTCAAATACAAAGAAAGTGCAGGAAATCTGTCCACACACTAAAGACCGAGAGAGTCCATCCCAAGGACTGGATCTCATGGCAATGTCCTGCATAAGTTCAGCTGAAGACCTAGAGCCCATGACATTGCAGATCACAAGTCCCCTGACATCCTAGAGCCCATGACAATGACTCACACAAGTATGTTTTATGGATCTGTGCTGGGAAGGGCCAAAGGTCAGTACAGGGTAAAGGATCTGTGTCAGTAGGCTGAAGGATCTGCATTGGAGCCAGGATGTGACATTCAAAGGACCAGAGCTCCCTTGGAAAGTACCACAGCCATGCTCAGCAACAGTGAGGTCCCAAGCTGATGACGAGAACAACTGAGTTCATATCAGGAAGCCGACATGACAAGCTTCTCTAGAAGACTGAACAGCACACTTTTTCCCCTCCAGAGCCAGGAAACAATGCTCAAAGGAATAGAGCTCCCTCAAAGTGAACCACACTTATTCTCAGCAACAAGGTTCCAAACTCTTTTGATGATGAAAACTGCCAACTTCATATCAGAAAAGCAGCCCAACATACTCCTCCAGGAGAACTAACAACACTGCACTCTTCCTCTCCAGGTCTCCTTCTTATCTTGGCAATTGTCTTCAACTGGGTCATCTGTGCTCAGCACCATGCTGATTCAGTTCAGCTGGTGCTACATGTTGATCACCAGTTATCAATCCACCATGGTATCTTCCCAAAAATATTAAAAGCATCATGCCACAGTAATATATGTACATCCGTGTTTATAGCAGTACAGTTTGTAATAATTAAATCTTGGAATCAACCCAAATATGCATCAACCAATGATAAGATCTTCAACAAATATTACTGAAACAATTGGATGTCTGTAACATGACCAAAAATTAATATCAATCTATACTTTATGTCTTCTACAAATATTAACTCAAAAATATATCACAGAGATAAATGCCAAACTAAAAAGCATATAAGAAAATATGGGATGAACTTTTCATACTCTTAAAGCTATACAAAAGATTTTTAAATTTGACACTAAAATCATGCTCCATGAAAGAAAAATTGATAAGTTGAATTCATCAAAACTAAAACCTTTTGCTTTCTGTAAAATACTGAGAGAAATAAAGAAAAAAAAAAACAAGCTACAAACTAACATCTGACAAAGAATTATCTAAACAACTGAAAGAATATAAAGTGCCAGAACCCAATTAAAAATGGAGCAAAGTTTTGAAAAAGACACTTTCCTACAGGAGATTTAGAGCTGACAAATATGAACATGAGAAGATGCAGAGCATGTTGATGAAAACACCAACAGAACATACACACTGTTAATGATAAGCACCCTTTTGTGTGGTCCTGAAAATAAAGCTGAGAAGCTAGAAACTGCATGCCTTGCTGGTGTGAATGGAGAACAGAGGAAGCATCCTGCAAATTGGTTGGCATTTTCTTATGCAGATAAATACACCGTGTGTGATGTAGCAATACTACTCCCAGCTATTTTTGTCAGCAATATGAAATTTTACATTCATATAAAATCCTGTGTGTTAACCTTTATAAAAGGATTCTTCATAACTACCTTAAACTGGAGATGATTTTAATAATCTTTGACTAATAACTGGTTAACATGAGCATTATACAACTCAAGAATAAAAAGAAATTACACGTGAAGCAACACTTATGTACATCAAAAACATGTAAAGGAAGTCAGTAAAAGGTTACACAGTGTAAGGTTCTATTTGAATATCATTTCATAAAAGGCAAATCTGTAGGGATGGAAAGTAAATTAGTGTTTTTTAACATCTAGGATCCAGGAGTGACTTTAAAAGTATTTTATATTTTAATTTTATTTTGCAAATGGTTAGTAAAAAAAGGAGTTTTGGGGATGAGAGTATGTTTTGTAACCAGATTGTAGAAGTGGTCAGACAATTCTATATATTACTTAAAACTCATAGAGGTTTATGTCAAAAATACAAAGAAAATTTTATTGTATGTAAATTGAGAAAAAGCCCAGTAATAGCTGATATATAGTGATTGCTATGGTTTGCATGTAGTTGTTATTTTGGAACTCATTCAGGCATTTAATCCTTAAAGTCTTACATTAATGATATTAGGAGGGTAGAAAATTAGTTACACTCCAATATTAAACATAGGACTTTGGGAATGATTAGATGAGGTAAGAACATTATGTTGGAACTTCCATGATTGAATTCTAATGGCCCAGGACCAAAGTTCCACTTCTGGAATTAGCCATTGCAGGTTGAATTTTCTGCAAAGATGCTAAGAGAGTTTAGATTACAAGATATGTGTCACGGAATATAAGGAGGTCCAAAATGGTAGGGCCCTTATATGCCCAAATATCTTATGTGTACATACAGCTTGCATCAGAAAGACTGATCTCAAGTGAGGTGACTTTCTGGTGACTGTTCTTTCAAAAAAGAAACAGCATTCCAAGTTGAAAAGTAAAACCATGGTGGCACAGTAAATCACAATTTGCAGGTAACTAAGAATTTCTGTGTAGCTAAAGCTTAAAGGACTGTGTATACAGAATTAAAGAGCTTGGAATTTTGATAATTTGCTCTTTGTTGAGTGATTTCTACATGACTTGTATGTTATACACATTATTATATTTTATCTGTAAGATTTTCCAAGATAGCATTATCAACAATTTACACATCAAGAACGAGGCTCAAAGAGTCTAAGTAATGTAGAAGATCATACATTTAATGCTGGATGATGGAAATTATTATTATTCAATAATGAAATTCCCAAATTTAAGCTTGGCTTTACCTTCCATTTTTTATAAAGAACACATTCTTTATCTGAGAGGGGAGGATGAACATCAAATGATTTAATGTTCATTGTAGATAGATAATTATATGGGAGAAATATGAAAGTGGACATGCTGGTAGGTAAGTTTCTGTGGAAGGTTGTCAGAGAAGCTGGTGTGAGAGATGCTGGTGTCTGGTCTGGTCAATGAAAGTGAGAATGAGAAGAAGTTGAGAAGACATGTTAAATTATCAAGACATTGAGAATGAATGAAAATAGAGGTTGTAGACAATGAGGAATGATAAGAACTCCAGGATTATATTTGGGGCTACATTGTGATTCATGCCACTAACAGCAACTATACTTACAAAATAATTAATTGTGTAAGTATGTATCTCCTCCATCAGAATGTGGTCTGAGGCTATTGATTACTTCCTCAATGTAGCACTTAACATAGTACCTGGCATAATTGGTTTGTAAATCAGAATGGCTTTTACTGAAAATAATCTAAGCATGGCCATAGTACCATGATATTATCAGTTGTGTCAATATTATTCAGAATAATGATCTTATTAGAGAATATAAACTTTTTATAATACGTCATCATAATTTCATTTTGCAAATCTGTTATTTCTCTTGAGTATTTCTATACTTACCTTTCCCCCTAGAACTTCAGCTGAAACTCATCCTAAAAGTCCACTTTTGAAAAAATATCAAGTAAAAACTCATGAATTAAGTTTGATGAGAATTTTGACATAAACTCAGTCAGGCAGTGGGTTAAACTAACGTGGCAGTAAGATTCGGGCACTCTTATATACTAAAATCTTGATATAATAGTCCTTCCAGGGTCTTTTCTGTCTGTTGCCTTCTAAATAAATCTTTAATGAGATTCCTTAAAAATTTCAGTAACTAAGCCCTCCAGCTCCATCTGTCATACAATAAATCCTATCTTTTAGAGAGATGTCAGTGTATTTTTATTAGTCAAGCATCTAATTTTGTACACTGATTTAATCCATTCAGGCAGTTTCTGATTTACCACAGTTTAATTTATGATTTTTTGACATTGTGATGGTGAAAACGGATGCCTTTGGTAGAACTCACACTTTGAATTTTGAGTTCTGGTATTTTCCTAAGCATTAATATATGTTTTGATAATCTCTCTTGATACTGAGCAGTGTCAGCAAACCACAGCTCCCAGCCAGCCAGGCAATCCTGAGGGCAAACCACTGCAGTTCTGCGTATGCTAAACTGTGATGCTTGGTAGGTTAGGTGCGGTAAGTGTATTTCTGACTTATGATGTTTTCAGCTAAGAGGCGGTTTTATATAGCCAACTTTCTGTTGCTAGGAGAAATGTCTCACTACTTGTTTTATTTTGGTTTATGATTTCAGAAGTTTTATCTCATGCTTGGCTGGCTCCAGCACAGTAGTATCATGGAGAAAAGGGTAAGGTAGAGAAAAGAAGCTCCCTTCATGGAACCCAGAAAACAGAAAAGAAACAACCGTAGTGAGGAAGGAGTCAGGAGGAGTCACATCCTTCAGAGATGTGTCCTCAGTGACCTACTTCCTCCAACTGAGCCCTGCCTCTTCGTGGCTCATTGATCTATGAACTCATCCATAGATTCACCCAATAGATGAAATTAGTGCTCTCATACTTGAGACTTTAGGGGATTTTTCATATTTAAATCACACCAGGTTTATTGGGACATTCACCCCATCATAAGTCTAGTAGTATCTTTACATTCAGCAGACACCTGAAACTGTAACAAGAAAATTTAAAAATGATCCACAAATATTGTCCACATCAGTGCATGTTCTTAATATTTCTGTTGTCTGCCAATTTATATGTTGAAACCTAATCACCAAGGTGATGGCTTGGGAGAGTTGTTTAACTCATGCGAGTGAAAACCATGTGGAAGGTAGGCCCATCTCAGTTACCCAGTCCACCATGTGACCATGCAGGAAGAAGTCGCTGATACCGAGGAGTAGATCCTCGACAGATAGCATTTGTCAGCACCTTCATCTTGGACTGCCTAGACTCCAAAACTGAGAAAGACACCTCTGTTGTCTGTAAGCTACCAGGACATTTTGTTATAGAGCCTCAATGGAGTAAGACATTTGGTCATTTACAAATTGGATACCACAAAGCTAGGCACATAACTTCTCTGAACCTCAGTTCTTTTTTCATAAAATGAAGAAAGCAATATCTTGCAGGATTGTTACCAGAATTGTAGGTTATCATGTAACTGAGTTTACTTAGCCATGAGAATTATCATTAGTAGTTCTGGTATTACTTACTTTTAATAATCCAAGTTCATCATACAGGTGTATGACCTAATCACATCAGCCATTTGAATTTCTCTCATTCTCCTACCTTCCAATACCTACCAAGCAGTGGATAACATTCTAATCCTAAGTATGACTACAAAGAGGTGGTTACAACATGTTGTTACTGTTAGACAATCGAAAGTCAAGCTCTGACTTGACAGAGAGTTTTCTCAAAGACCTATGAGAAAAACCTTTAGGCGTAAGTGTCTTGTGTGCTTTTACTTGCTGAAATCTAATGGAAGAGTTGCCATTTGGGGATTGCCTGCATCAGTGCTTCCTTCCATTAGCACAAAGAGGTGAAAGTTGACTGCAATTAGATGTAATTAGCCACTGATCTTTTTGGACAACCAGAAAATCTGTGCTTCTCTCACCCCCCAGACATTAAAAGAGCACTCAGGAGAGACGGAACTTTTGCACTGGATAATTCTGAATCAGAGAATACCAAATACTTCAAAAGCAGTACTTTTACCATGGTCAGTTCTGAATCTCTTTTTAGCATATTTATTAATATATGCCATTATCTGTCAGAGAGAAAGAAAGAACAAAATATGAAAGGATCTTGCAAATGGCTATATAACACTGTGTGTAAAACACTGAAGCTAATTGAATTGAATGGCTTTGAGCTCTTGGAAGTTACAAAGTGACAAGGTTTGCTTGACAGCTAGTGAGTGATTATTTCCCGTCCCACTGATTAATTTGGTCAATTAGTGGTAAATAGGAATGTCACAAGTGGAAAGGGTAATGAGAGTCATTATAAATGTAATAGTAAAATCGAGGGCAACCTTGACACAAGAAGGGTCTGCTGTGGCTTCCTCAGACACTGATGGGACCAGGAGTTTATTCCCTTTCTGCTTCTCCTTCCCTGGAGACTGCACCTTAGTTCAACCAGAACTTCTGAGAAATCAGGAGAGACCTCTGGCAGAATTTGTATTGGACATACTGAAAAAAAAATTGCACATGGCATTTAAAATATTCATTTGCTCTTTGAATCTTTTAATTATGCCCTCAAATTAAAAGCAGCAGTTGCACATTAGAGTAAGTCAGGTAGATTAAAGTCCCAAATGTGGAGCATACGATGTCTGCTCAATTGGGAATTGCTAATTCAAGCATTAGAACAAGTCCCCCTGGTGTTAGTTTCCTATGGCTACTGAAAAGATCACCTTAAAGTAGGAGGCTTAAAATGACAGAAATTTATTCTCTCTCTCTCAGGTGTGGAGGCCACTATTATAATAATGTCTTCAGTTGAAATGCACATTTTGGCAAGGCTAGTTTCTTCTGAAGACTCTGGAGAAGAACCTGTTGTTGCCTCTTTCCTGGTTTTTGGTGGTCAGCTACAATCCTCGACATCTCTTTGCTTATAGTTGTATCGCTCTAATCTCTGCCTCTATCTTCACATTTTTTCTTTTCCTTGTATGTCTTCTCCTTTATTTTTCCTTTATAAGGAGAACTGTCATTGGAGTTAGTACCTCCCATAATCCAGTGTGACCTTGAAATTCTTAATCAGATCTGCAAAGACCCTTTATAGAACTAGCATCATATTCGTAGGTTTTGGGAAGACAAATCTTTTAGGTGCACCACTATTTGACAAAATTTATTCACTTTCCTAGTGAATACCTTCAAATTTGATCATTATCCTATCTGAAAGGGCTTGGGAAGACAGAGGATTCTGTATGTATAAACACAGGAATTTATGTTATTTACCCTCTAACTTCAACCTATTGTGACTGCGTGTTCAAGGAACCTATCAGACTCATGACAGGATCTGACAGTCAGCTCTGTCTATGGCAACTGGCTGCTTCACGCACCCCTTTTTTCTGATCTGCTTGTCTGCCGTATTGACTTAGTGTTCTTACAATATTCTACTTGTTTTGTCTTTTGTGTCTGAAATCTGCTTCAATCTTGCCATTACCATAGGAAACAACAAGCTGCCTAGCCTTAGTAATTCCTTGGAGACTTGGAAACATGTCACACCCGCCCCCTCATTCATTACTAAGCAATTTAGAAACATGTGATTGTTACTACTGACATTCTACCTCATAGACTTTGTTTTGAGATGTCTGATTTATTCGGCTCCATCAGATGCTATTGATGTATGCCTCCTTGGTTAACACTTTTATTTAAAATCTCCCTGTGCTCAGTCTTTTTAAGTATCTCTGTCTACCTGTCTTTTTTAGTCCCTAAACAAAGACTACTTGAGCCCATTACTATACTATTATAATAATGTCTTCAGTTGAAAGAGGGAAATATACTTTTGGAAAATGATTTTGCTTTCTAAATCTATCATTTACATTCATTTGCTCCACTTTACTTTGGGATTCTTTTGGCTCGGAACATCTCCTAACTTGTGGCTTCCCGATGCTGCTTTAAGCTGACTCTAGTTTAAGACTATATTTTTACCTGGTAACATTCCTCCTGATGCCACATCACACACTGTTCCTTAAAAAATTTGTTAATCTTCCAGTGATCATAAGAAAGGAAAAACAATTTTGAATGGAATAAAATCTGTCTGTAATCTATCCCATTGGCTGTGTTTTCTTCCAGCTTTCCCTTATCCATGATATACTCAGACACACACTATGAGTTTCTCACTAAGCCCCAAACACGTCACATACTCTTGTAGGCCCTTTTTCCCTGTGTATACTAAACGTTCTTTATCTTCCCTTTTGACTCCCTAACAATCCTCCAGGACCTATTGTTTATAGCTTCTCTTTCCAGCATTTTCTCACACCCTCAGGGCAGAGGTAGTTTTTCCTTCCTTTCTACTATTTCTATGCTACTGTTCTATAAAATATGAAGCTGTATTAATCATTCGTAGGTGGCCAGTCATTCAGACATGTGCATTGAACTCACTGTGTTCCAGGAACAGTATACTGTAATTTTCTGCTTATATTTATCCTCACTAGTCATTGAACCTCATGGGGTGAATAGTGGCCTCCCCCCATCCTCTAGGGCCTTTCACATTGACAAGAGACTGTCATTGCTAACTTGATCAGATTAAGAGGTGCCTCACAGATTAGTAAAGACACACTTCTGAGAGTATCCATAGGGGTGCTTCCACAGATAATTGGCCTGCGGGCCAACAGGCTAAAGGGGGATGACCCATCTGGGTTGGTGGGTGGCACCATCCAATAGCCTCATAACCCAGATGGAACAGAAAGTTGAGGTACGAGGAAATCAGCATGCACTTAAACAGCTCCATTCTTCTTAAATTGGCACATCTTTTGTTACTGCCATCCTCTGAGGATATCAGGTTCCAGCTTCTTTAGCCTTTCAGTATGGACTCTCACCAGGGCCTCTCCACGGAGCAGCTGGTCTTCAGTTTTGGACTGGCCCTGCATTCTTCTTGTTCTTGCATCATTCCTTTTGTTCAAAGGTCTCTTGCTTCTTGGACTAAATAGCTGCTGGAACCTCTGGTTCTCCTGAATGCAGATGGCTATCTGACCAACTGGATTCTGATCTTAGCTAACAAATAAAGCCAATCTAAAAAATCCCCCTTCATATGTACATATATATTTTTACATTGTTTTTATTTATTCCCTCTACAGAACTCTAATCAATACAGAGGTCTAAGTAAACATTTGATGAATCATGAAAGGAATGAATAAATATCAAGTGACAGGAAAAGTTCATTGTTGCTAAAAATCTTTTGGTCAATACCACCACATAGATATCCACAACTGAAGAGACGAAGAAAGCTCGTTCCATCTGCTGCTTCCCCTCCCCTTCTCCCTTCAAATCCAACTAGGTTAAGTTTTAACTTCCTAAAGGCCATAAAACAAAGGCCTGAGGTACTAGCTCCTGACATCCTGGGTCTTCCCTATCTGGTAGCCCCATCACAAATTGTGTTAATTGCATCAGATTGTATTAGATTGTACATTCTTCACAGAAATAGCTTCGTTTATATCATAGTAATACCTGTAACTGTAAATGTGTGTCTTCCTTTTTCCCTGGGTAAAAGATTGATATGTTAATCAATGCTCTCTTCTGTAAAGAATTGTAAAATCTTACCCAATTGATATGTTAACCATTGTTGCCCTCTACAAATAGAAAGGTTGTGGTACTAAAGTAAGGTAATTATGTCAGGAAACTCAGAGATAAAGTCTGCTGACTATGCTAATCAAGATTGGGAAGTATGTCAGAACCAAGCCACACAGGAGCTAGGTGACCTAAAAATAAGCTGTGCAAAACAAGACAGTTAATCAACTCTGACCCACTGGTCGCCCCTCATGATCTGACCAATCACAAATGGACAAATCACCAACTGTTCTGCTCTAACTGCTATGATTGGCTTCTGTAACAATGCTTGCTTGCTTTGCGGTTTTCATCCTTAAAAACACCAGCCTTGCCCCAACTCAGGGTTCTCCGTTTCCACCTGTTTGGAGGACCCCGTGTACACGGAATAATAAAAACCCCATTGTTTTTACATGAGAGCGAGGCCCTTGGAGTCTTCCTCGCGACACCGGTCTAACATTTTGGAGGCCCTAGCGAGATCAAACTGAGAAGAGACCTCCTCGCAGAGGGAGACCCCAACGGCACCTCTCTGGGGTAAGTAGTACGGCCAGTTTTTGTTTACTTTCATTTTGGATCGATCCGCCATTTCCTTTCGCCCCAGGCCGAACTCCGGCTCTACTTCACGGGCAAATTCTGTTCTTGGGTGATCGGGGGACGCCCCACACGGTTTTCCGTGACTCACCGTCTGCGATAGGATTTTCCTATCGATCTGGGGAATTTCATTCCCAATCTGTGGTCCGTCTGGGCCAATCTGGGGAATTTCATTCCCAATCTGTGGTCCGTCTGGGCCAATCTGGGGAATTTCATTCCCAATCTGTGGTCCGTCTGGGCCAATCTGGGGAATTTCATTCCCAATCTGTGGTCCGTCCAGGCCAATCTGGAGGCACCCCCTAAGGTGACTCGTTTGATGTGAAACTAATGCGTGAGAGTGAGGTGGCCGGCCTGTTTGTCCTGTGTGTTGTGACTGTTGTGATCCGTTATTTGTTGTGTCGCGCGTACGCTAACCACTCTTTGTCTTCAGAACACCATGGGACAAACGACATCGTCCCCATTGTCCCTCACCCTCGACCATTGGTCGGAGGTTCGAGAGAGGGCTCACAATCTCTCCTTTCAGGTTAAAAAAAGTAAATGGCAGACTTTCTGCTCGTCTGAGTGGCCCACATTCTCCGTGGATTGGCCACCGGAGGGGACTTTCCACCTTCCCCTCATCTTAGCAGTTAAGAACATCATCTTCCGCCCTGGACGAGAGAGCCACCCCGACTGGGTCACCTACATCTTGGTATGGCAGGACCTCAGGGAGGAGCCCCCACCGTGGGTAAAACCCTTCCTTCCTCCGCCCTCTCCTTGGTTGCCTGTTTAAACTTGTTACTAACTTAGGGGCTTGTTGCCCATTTCTGTTGCAGGATCCATATGGCTTATTAGATTCAAGGTTCATGATAAGAAAAATTATTTCCTTTAGCTGACCAAACTGTGCAAGAAGCTCCCTTCGTTTGTGTCTTTAATGTTGTGGCGCCTTGTTTAATATGTAAGACTTCAATTGATTGCTTGCAACCTCGGCATGCCTTTTAAAAGGAGTATTTTTTTCTCTCTGGTGAAAATGTAAACATGTGCACATATATATGTATATCTATGGTTGTTAAGAGTCATGTCAACTTTGCCAAGTAAAAACCAGGCGGTACTATATTTGAGCCAGTTAAAAGGTTACAGTTTTGTTTTTAAAATACAACATTTTTATGTGGTAAAAAGATATAAAATAAGCATGTTTTAGACTACTAAAAGGTGACTTCAAGGGTTTTGTTGAGAGTTTTGATGTTGTCTGAGAAGTGAGAAAAAAGGTAATTGACTGGTAATAGTAAAAAGAGGGACAAAGAGAGTGGTCTTCAAGTAAAGGTGTCTGGCTATGCCAGAATGTAAAAAAAGATTAAAGCTTAGTTTGAGAGGTATTATTGTAAGTTGTAGAAGGCTCAAGAGGATGTAAATTTTATTTGTCTTGGTTTATAGTACTACAAATAACAGGTTTGACAAAAAGTAAATGTGTTCAGAATTTGACAGTATTAGATCAGTTTTGGTAAAAGTATACATAAGATTGTACTTTGCTGCAAAATGTTTTCATTAAAATGAGATTATAGGTGATATTAAAAATAAGATACAAGTTCTTACATGTGCTGTGAACATCTGGGAGATTATACAGCACAATTTTGTTACCTATGAAAAAGCCCTTGTTAAAAATATAATTTTAATAAAATAATGGCCTGTCACGTGACACCCTTGGACAAAAAAACAGTGTGCCATCCAGATGAAGCCGGCTCTCTGATCCGGAATGCCAAAACCATGTTCTCCTTTTGTGCCACCCTGACTGGACGTCCAGAGGTAAGGAGGTTTCCCAATATTGCCAGTTGTTCTCTTTGTAACTCAGTCGGCCCCACATGTTAGACAAAAATTACAAAGGTTTGAGAGGTTTAAAAAAATGCCCCTCAGCCAGTTAATAGAGATAGCACAAAAAGGTCTTTGAGAACTAAAAAATTTACAAAAAGATAGCCAAGGTGTTAAAATTGCTCTATGAGAAAAAAAACTTTTAAAAAACAGACGAGAGTTTCTGGGGGCAGTTGGATACTGTAGGCTAAATTTTACTGAAAAGCTTGCCTCTATATGACTGACTCCCATAAGGGAGAAACTCAAAATTCGCTGAACTGGACTGATAAATGTAAACAGGCCTTCCAACAGCTCAAGCGGGCCTTGACAGAGGCCCCAGCCCTGGGACTCCCTGACGTTACCAAGCCTTTCATCTTGTTCATAGATAAACTCAGGGACATTGCCAAAAGAGTCCTAACTCAGGACATTGGCCCTTGAAAAAGGCCTATAGCCTACCTCTCCAAAAGACTTGATCCAGTAACAGGAGTATGGCCCCCTGCCTAAGAATACTAGCTACTGTGACAATGTTACTTAAGGAGACAAAAAAACTCGCTTTGGGCAAGTGATTTCTGTGGTAACCTCTCACAGTTTAGAGACTCTTATCAAAACCCCTCCTAAAAAAAGGCTCTCAAATGCCAGAATTCTACTGTCAAGCCCTGCTTCTAGACCCAGAGTTAATGATATCCAAGACTTCTTCAGCTTTAAACCCAGCCACCCTTATGCCTGATGATGATCCGGAGGAACAAAGGACACCTCTCTCCATGAGTGCGCTGACATCCTCGAACTGCAGCAGAACCTACAGGCTGATCTTACTGACCAGCTTTTGGGAAATGCCGACAACTGTTCGATGAAAGCAGCTTCATCCAAAACGGCAAACGAGTGGCTGGGGCAACAGTGACCGCCAAAAAGGAGGTACTCTGGGTTAAGCGGGTAGAGTCTGGCACTTCTGCCCAAAAGGCGGAGCTTGTTGCTTTGACTGAGAGGTTAAAACTAGCCACGGAAAAGAGGGTAAACATTTTTTTTTACTGAAGACATCCCTTTGCTACTGTACATATACGGGGAAGCCATCTAAAAATGCTCCACAGATTCTAGATTTGCTGGCAGCTGTCTGGCTGCCTCAATGGGTTGCTATTCCTCACAAGGCTCACCCAACCAGAGATGAAAAATAGCAACCACATCAGAGGGGTCAACCAAAAAAGTAACTGCTCTGATACTAGTCCTCTGACCTTGTCAGAACTAGTCTACACAAAGAAAGACCTACAGTTGGCATCTCAACTTAGAATAAAGTCTCCCACCCCAAGGGGCTAATACCAGTTACCTGATAAACAAGTACTGTTACTAGAGGCACTAGGGTGGGAGCTGTTTCACCTTGCAGAATTGTTCAGAACTCAATATTTTATTCCAAAACTCTACAAACTGACCACCTCTTCGAGCTCCAGATGCCCACAGTGTTTGTTAGTCAACTCAGCCAAGAGCTCTGCGTTGGAGACCACCCAACATCAAGAAATTGTTCCAGGAGAACATTGGGAAATAAACTTCATAGACATGGTAAAACTTAATTTACAGGGACACCGCTATCTCTTGGTATTAATAAACACTTTTACTGGCTGGGTAGAGGCTTTCCCTACTAAATCTGAGTCAGCCTTAGTGGTAGTTAAAAGGCTATTACATGAGATCTTACCTTGATTTGGCCTCCCACTATCAATGGGGTCCGATAATGGCCTGGCTTTCATAGCCCGAGTCACCCAAAAGTTAGCCCAGGCATTAAAGATTAATTAAAACTCCACTGTGCCTATCAGCCACAAAGCTCAGGACAAGTAAAACGTATGAACCAAAGTCTCAAGGACATTTTAGCTAAGCTGTCTTCAAAAACTGGCAATAATTGGATGAGCCTTCTTCCCTTTGCACTGTTAAGAGCTAGATATACCCCATATGTTTCCAAAATTTCCCCCTTTAAAGCCATGTTTGGGAGGCCCCCGCCATTGGTTCCAAGATTGTCAGAAGACAAATTAGCTAAAACTACTAATTGAGATCTTAAGTCCCTGCAGACACTCCAACCTGTGTTGGCCTGGATCCACCAGCTGTTTAGACAAAAACACTTGGACCTGCCTTCAAAGACCAAGGCCTCAAGGACTCCAGTCTTGGTTCGATGTCATCACCATGACTCCCTCGAACCCCACTGGGAAAGACCTTTCACCGTGGTGCTCAGTACCCCCACTGCCATCAAGGTAGCAGGAAAAACTGCGCGGATTCACTACACTCATGTAAAGCCACTGAAAACAGCAGACAACGAGGGACATACTCAGTGGACTACACAACAGACTGGTAACCCTTAAAGTTAAAAATTGACTAAAGCATAGTTAGATTATGCTGGTCATGAACTGTTTTAGCTTGCTTGTTTTGATTTTAATAACATTAATGCCGACCTTACATGGCGGCTTTGGTCCCCCTGTAAGCAAAAAAAAACAATTGTTAAAGATCTTTGTATGGGAGCCCCCTTTAAAAAATGTAAAACGGAATTCTCCCCTATCTCCTTCCCTTGATAAGACCATTAGTGACCTTAATCCTAATCCTAGCCATTGTCCCTTGCCTCATTAACTGGATTACCCAATTCATAAGGGGACAAGTCTCTCAGGTCAAATTAATGGTCATACGTCACCAATATGAACCCCTAGCTACAACAAACCTCTAAGATTAGAGGTCATCCAAAAAAAAAGGGGGGGGGAATGAAGAGACGAAGAAAGCTCGTTCCATCTGCTGCTTCCCCTCCCCTTCTCCCTTCAAATCCAACAAGGTTAAGTTTTAACTTCCTAAAGGCCATAAAACAAAGGCCTGAGGTACTAGCTCCTGACATCCTGGGTCTTCCCTATCTGGTAGCCCCATCACAAATTGTGTTAATTGCATCAGATTGTATTAGATTGTACATTCTTCACAGAAATAGCTTCGTTTATATCATAGTAATACCTGTAACTGTAAATGTGTGTCTTCCTTTTTCCCTGGGTAAAAGATTGATATGTTAATCAATGTTCTCTTCTGTAAAGAATTGTAAAATCTTACCCAATTGATATGTTAACCATTGTTGCCCTCTACAAATAGAAAGGTTGTGGTGCTAAAGTAAGGTAATTATGTCAGGAAACTCAGAGATAAAGTCTGCTGACTATGCTAATCAAGATTGGGAAGTATGTCAGAACCAAGCCACACAGGAGCTAGGTGACCTAAAAATAAGCTGTGCAAAACAAGACAGTTAATCAACTCTGACCCACTGGTCGCCCCTCATGATCTGACCAATCACAAATGGACAAATCACCAACTGTTCTGCTCTAACTGCTATGATTGGCTTCTGTAACAATGCTTGCTTGCTTTGCGGTTTTCATCCTTAAAAACACCAGCCTTGCCCCAACTCAGGGTTCTCCGTTTCCACCTGTTTGGAGGACCCCGTGTACACGGAATAATAAAAACCCCATTGTTTTTACATGAGAGCGAGGCCCTTGGAGTCTTCCTCGCGACACCGGTCTAACACAACAAACTTCTCAATTTAGGATTTCTTACATTCTATCACATAATTTATTCACTGTCACACAGTATACACATTATATCAGTGTACCTTATTGTCAGCCTCTGCTCTGTCCTTGTGCATAGCACCAGGCAGGAATGCAGCCCAGTCTGTAAATGTGCACTGGGGTGGTATGCATTGTATTTGGTGATAAATGCAAGGACACTGATGACCTGTGCCTTAGGTTGACATGTAATACCTAATTCAGAGTTTTATTATTATTACAGTAAAAAGGAAGGAGGTGGTGAATAGAAAAGGGGAAAGTAATTCATAGCCAAAATGGTTCGCTGGACTCTCCTATGTCCTGCTTTATATGGCAAGGCCAGCATCTGTATGCTACATCTTTCACTCTAACGCACATTGACTTTGTCACTGCGCCTTGATGAATGCGTGGCCAGAGCTAGTGAGTGCTCTGTTTTTCTCACATATATTCTGTTGAAACAGAGTTTTCCACTTTTGTTTTCCATGTTTTATTAAGTGTATCTCTGATGGTACCCATTTGCAGAACAAATTAACTGAAATGGATAGGAAAGAAATGTCTTCACTCATGCAAAGCAATGAAATCATCATTCCAGAAACACAAGACACATGTCCCTCATTGTCCTCATCAAGATGGCTAATAGCATTTTAAAACATCACTTGCCTTGTGAATGTTCTCAGAATCCTTCACCTATATAACTGGAAATAGTTACCACCTAAACTGTGGTATGTATTCCAGCCAGATGAAATTAGTTCTCATGTAATAATTAATTTAAGCATCTGTTCTGAATAAATGACATTTTTGGTGTATTAAAAACAGTATTTAAAGGGTAGGGTGATGTGAAAAACAACAAATAGATTAAGTGATGGCACATGTTTGCATACTAGATTTGTGACCTTGGGCAAGTTATTTATCCTAGTTGTCTCTATTTCCTCATCTGTAAAATAACAAGTTGGGTAAAATCATGATAGCAAATCCTTATTGCCAGTTTTGTTTCATGACGTTGTTTTAAGTGCTTAAAAAATGCTTTTAAATATAATTCATTGAAAACTTACAGCAATCCTACAGAGTAGCATGTATTACCATTAAGATTAAGAGAGGCAATGCCAAGACAAGCAACTTGCTCAGAGTCCCACAGTTAGTATGCAACAGACTGAAATTTTTTCTCCAGTATTGTGCTCTTAGACTATGTATTATCAACCATTATCTGATAATTTTTCCAGTACCTGAGTGACTGTGTTTTCACTGTTGTGTAGGAAGAAGTGTTATCTAGAAACTAGTGTATAATTTTGCATGAAATTTGTTTTCTTGCCCAGAATCTGTGGGAGGTGTTCATTCATACACCAAGCCAGGATGAAGCTGTTTATAAAAGCATTTCATGAAACACTTTCTTAAAACTATGATGAATCATTGCAGCTGAGAGGACAAAAATAGGACAGTGTGACTAAACGTTCCCATCCTTACTTCACCTTTGAAAGAATTTCCATTTCTTAATGATTTTGAACTGATTCAGCACAGCAAAGAAGATATTTCTAGGGACACTGTTCTTAACACTTGAGTAGAAAGCATGGATTACCCATGGATTTCCAGCACCTCAATCTCTCCCATATAAATGATACGGAAGTAATTAAAGCCTCACTGGACCCTGTAACCCAAGAACTGAACTTGGTCTGGCATGGAGAGAACTCTATAGAATTTATTTTCTATATTATCTACTGTTGATGATGCAGGTGAGTGCTAGATAAGAATAGGGGAAAACCCTAAAGGGACAGATAAAATGCTACTTGCAAGTAAAATGTTTATGAGCAGCAGTGCTATATAGTAAGAAGTTAATGACCTTTGGGTTCTGAGGACCACAACTTGAATATAGGATGTCATTTTTTCCTCTCTTTTTGGTACCAGAGATCAAACTCATGACCTTGTGCTTGCAGGCACGAACTTGTTCCACTGAGCACTATCCCCAGCCCTCTAAGATGTCATTTCATTGCTTTCTAACCTTGAAACATTTCATCTCTTATATATGCCATCTATAAATTCTAGTTAATAATGACTTATCTTAAAGGGACATGCTATATAATTAGTATGTGCATATATTTTATACACTGTCACATAGAGATAAGTTATAGTTGTGATTGCCATGAGGAATTTATTAGGCATGCACTATTAATGAATGTGTAATTCTTTTTCTAGTTTTCAACTTCACATCTTTTCTTTCTTTCCTACTTCTAAAAGTTTGAGGTGATATTTTCCAGATTTTTAATATTCCAATTAGAGACATGCTTTTAATAAACAACATATGCCATTGTAGGAGAAGGAACAAAATGACATTAGGAAAAGTTAAAAAGAAAAAGAAAAATTTAGTGGAACAAGATAATATGGTGATTATCTTTTGCAGTTTTAGTCCTTTAGATAGCTCGTGCCTATAACTGCTAAGAGGCTGCCAATGATAGAATTTCACCTCCAAGAGGAATGACTTTGTGACCTAGACTTGTCAATTGTTTCATCAACTGACCAACTGGATCAGATCTCTTACAGAAAAAAAATCTCACTTTTTCACTTTTGAATCAACAATTAGGGAAGTATAAATGTAACACTACATGGTTTTATCCCTACCTACCCTTCCCCATGAAGTAGAAGAAATTTTTATGTAGCAAGAGAGAATAAGGCTAAAGAACGAAAACAAAAGTGATGATAGAGACAGAAAATCTTGAGACACAGTATGGTGCTGTGCGTGGAGCAGGTTGTTCCTAAAGTGGTTCTATCTCTTCTCTTCCCGTTCATTTGACAAATAATTCCTGTGAGGCTACCAACCAAGTGGCAGAGACTGCTCAAGGTTCTAGTGATTCAAAATAGTTAAAAGTGATTGCCTCACAGACTTTGTATTTTAGCAGGGAGAGACAGGCATTGGACATGACAAGCATATTACAAAGCATGTTAAAAGATGAAAATCCCACAGCATTGAAGAGTAGATATAACAGGTTAAGAAAATAAATAGACGTGACAGGAGAAAGGAGGTAGGGAAGTTTTAAGTTAAATAAGGAAGTCTAAGTAGGCATTTGGGCAAATATTTGAAAATGGAGAAGCAGTGAGAACCACGAGTATCTGAAAGAAAAGTGACCTATGAAATGAGATAGCCAGGGCAGTGATGTATAGCAAGAACATGCCAGGTGTATAGCAGTGACAAAGTGGCCTGTTGGCGGGGGAGAGTTGAGTGACAAGGTCAGAAAGGCAAATTGGTGTGGAGCCAAATGATGTTGGGGCATTGTAACCACCATGACAGTTTTTGCTTTTATATTTGTGAAATGTGGAGCTTTTGCTGAATTTTGACCATACAGATTTGATAGAGAAGACTACAAAAGTAGACAATAATAGAGCCAAAGGATTTGTTAGCAAGGATTATAAAAATGGACACTGATGGAAGTGTAACTAGTAAGGAGACTATTTCAGTTCAAGGAGAGACACAATGACTTGGGTAAAGATGTGAGAAGTTATTGGATTCTGCATCTGAGTACAGAGCCAACAGGTTTCCTAAAGGATTGGATGATGGTATGACATGTTAAAAAGGAAGATCAAGAATGACATTCAGCTTTTTGCCCTGAGCAACTGAAAAATGAAATTGCTATGAGCTAAGGTAGGCAAGTAGGTGGAATAGAAGGTCAAATGTGTGCACGTTGGAGTTAAGACATTTGCTGGACATTTAAGCCAATATGATGGTAAAGAATTGGAAAAAGGAGTATGGAGCTTGAAATAATGTCTGTGAGATAAAATTTGAGTTTCATCAGCATATCTAAAAGACATTTAATGCCATGAAAATGGATGAGTTTGTTAAAGCAAGGAGAAAACCCAAGAATGTAAATCTGGGGCTGTCCAGCATTAAAAGGTCGGAGATCTACTGCGGAGTGGAATGTGAAGTCAGAGGGCACTAACAGAGGGTGTGCTAGAGCTAAGTGATGAAAATTAGCTTCCTCTCATAGGTAGATATCGACCATATTTAAAGGGAAAGTGCTTTTCAAGTACTTGATAATTGCTTGATTTTTACTTTGCTACACTTCTGTGAGTTTAATCTATGCTTGGTGTTGGGGGAGTATAAATAATACTCATCCTTCCATGGACATTATAATTAATTAATATAGACATCGAAGGTTAAACTATAATAATTTAAGGCCAAATATAAATGGCAATGTGAATACATGTAATTCACTGGGCAATTATAATAGTTGAGATGCTTCATATGAGATATCTCTGATTTTATAAACAATACTGAACAGTAGGAATTATTGTGTCCAATGGATGCAGAAATGCAAATTATGAGCCAGAGGGCAAATAGCTTGTGTTTATATGGCAAGAAAGGAAAGTCTGGGCCTAAGGTATTATTTTGTGATTTTGATTGTTTTTGTGATTTACAAAGCAAATAAATTTATTTCAGAATATTAGAAAATAAAAGAAAGACAACATTTCAGAACAAATTATTGTTGTATTTATAAATGTAGGTTTGTATCTATAATTATATACTTGTTTATTTTTGTATATGTGATATTACATTTTGGCAATGGCCCTCTGGCACATTGCACATGATATAGGGGAAAGAAATTCCCAACCTACTAGATGTCTGGTACCAGTTCACAGTCTCTAAAATCAAAGAATGAATTTTAGGAACAATGGAGGTTAAGGGCAGAATATATTTATTGAGGGAAAGAAAGCTTCTCTCTAAGAGAGACAAAAGGGGTTCTAAGTGGGTTGTCACTTTTTTCCAAGAAATTTTGTAGGGCAAATCCATAAAGTTAGGTAGATCTAAGGTGGAGAAACATGGGAACTCTCAAGATGAGCATGAATTGGGACAGAATATTATGGTCAATTAATAATGTTAATTGCATGCATAAAATTAATTAATTTGGGGGCAAATGGGAAAGTGAGTCACATAGCAGGTAAGCATGCATATAGAGCAG